GTTCTGGAGGCTAGAAGTCCAAGATTGGCATTGGCATCTGGTGAGGCCATCGAGTTGCATCAATAACAGAGAAAAATGGAAAGACCAGTGAGTGCCTGGGAACAGGGCACAACCCTGGGGCTCCCTCACTTTATGACAGCCTGTTGTCATGGTAACTAATCAGGTCTTGTAAGCACTGCATTAACCCTCTTAATAACCCAATCCGCTCTTAAGGTTCCCACCACTTTGTAATACTGTTACAAAGGACCAGATTTCAGCATGAGTTTTAGAAGGAACAAACCATTTTCAGGCTATAGCAGAGGGCCAGCACAGAATGAAGGTACAAACTGTGGTCAGCGCTTCAAGAGTGCTGGGTAACAGACACATTTCCCAACTGTGTCACTCAGGCAAACTCGCTTTTTCATAATTCAGTTTTCTTACCTGTAAAATGGAAATAACAACAGAACCTCCCTAAAAAAAGTTGTGAGAATCCAAAGGAGTTAATATAAATATAAAGGCTTAGGACAGTGTCAGAAAATGAGAGCTCATGAAATGTTAGCAGCATTCTTTCCTTTATATTGTTATTATTTCTTGTTTATAAATTCTGCAGTTTAGGCTCCTTTAGGCTATAAATTATGTGCATTTTGTTTGTAATTATATGCTTTAAGACTAGTATACAGCCTGATCCATGATAAAATTTTGAATTGAAGGAGTGAATAAATGAAGCTAGTCTGACTGAAAAAAATATTTTTCTCTAACTGTTTCTAATTCCATCAACACAATTCTTTTTGCTTCTGGGTTCTGAGCCAGTTTCTGTTAATCAGGCACCATATGATCATAGATTCTTCCCATGCACACACTGGTTCAGGATTTTCACGTCTTTTTTTTTTTTTTCCTTAATACGTCACTAATGGGATAATGACCACAGCCCTTCTATGTAAATCCTGGCTCCTGTATGCTCACAGGACTTCTAGAAGCACAACATTATCATTAACCCATCAATATCATTATCATCAATCTGTGTTGAAATCTATTAAATATTTTTATTTGTCAGCTGAGGTGATCATATGACTTTTTCTGTTAATGTGATGAATTACAATGAATGATTTACCTTTTATTCCCAGAATAAACACAACCAGTTGTGATATACAGTTATTTTTGTATATTTCTGCATTTAGTTTGCAAATATTTTGTTTAGGAATTTTGCATCTACATTGGGGATGTAATTAATATGTAATTTTACTTTCTCAAAATGTACTCACCAGGTTTTGGTGTAAAAGTAAGCTAACGTATAAAATAATGCAGGGCATGTTTCCCTTCTTCTGTGTCCTGGAGTAGTTTTGAGATTATTTAGCATTATTTCTTCTACATTTAGTAGAATTCACTGGTTATTTGAAATTATCTATTCTTACATTTCTTTTTTGTAGGAAAGTTTTAAATTATAGATTCACTTAAAATCATTATTATTCTAATTTTTTATTTTTGTAATTCCACTCATTGCCCTTCTAAAACTAACTATAGATTTTTCTTTATTCTTATGTCAATTTTGGCAGTTGTATATTTTCTAGAATTTTTTTGGCACAATATGCCATAGGTTATCAGTTTTCAAACAGTCAACTTTCGATCTACGTGATCTTTTCTACAGTATGTTTGCTTTCTATTTTATTTTTTCATCTGTCTTTATTATCTTCTTTCTATTCTGTGTTGAATTTGTTGGCTTTTTTCCTAACTTCTTAACATAGAGGCTTAGCATATTGATTTTCAATTTTTCTTCTTTCCTAATATGTGCATTCAAAGAAATGATGACTTTTAAGGAAGTGGGGGGCTGCAGGCTGGGACAGCAGGGAAGGAGTCATGGAGAAGATGACACCTGAGTTTTCAGGGAGAGGAACAGAAGTGTGTAGCAGGCTGTGAGAATGTTATAAACCAAAACTTAGTGGCTGTGAGAATGTTATAAACCAAAACTTAGTGGCAGGCAATGTTTTTATTATAGAAAATTTCAAACATATGTATAGGTAGAGAAGATCATTTAATAATGAATCCCTGGGCTTGGGTTGTGGCTCAATGGTAGAGTGCTCTCCTAGCATATGCGGGGCCCTGGGTTCAATCCTCAGCACCACATAAAAATAAATAAATAAAATGAAGGTATTGTGTCCAACTACAACTAAAAAGGAAATATAAAAGAAATAATGAATCCCTAAATACTTCTCACCAACTCCCAGCTGATATCAACTCATGTTTCCCCAGTGGCTCCCTCTTCTAATATCATTAATATTATTACACATGATTTCTGTGCACATGTCTAAAATATCTGGACTCTTTTTCTTATTTTAAAAAAAACTGGAAAGCAACCAAGATGTCTATCAGTAGATAAATAAAGAAATAACTGTGGGTACATTCAGACAATGAAATGATTATTTAGCACTGAAAGGAAGTGAGTTATAAAGCTGTGAAAAAAACACGGAGGAAACTATAAACATGGAGTGAAAAAGCCAATCTGAAAAGGCTGAATACTGTATTATTCCAACTATGAGACATTCTTAAAAAGTCAAAACTATGGGCGGGGGTTATTGCTCAGTGGTAGAGTGCTCGCCTAGAATGCATGAGGCACTGGGTTTGATCCTCAGCACCACATAAATATAAAGTAAAGATATTGTATCCACCTAAAAACTAAAAAAATAAAGGCAAAACTATGAAGACAGTAAAAAGATGAATACTTTCCAATGACTGGGGGGAGGGAAAGATGAATAGATGGAGTCCAGAGGATTTTCAGGGCAGTGGAACTATTTTGTATGATACCACAGTGGTGGACACAGGTCATTGCACATTTGTCCAGACTCACAGAATGCACAACACTAAGAGTGAACTGCAATGTGAACTATGGATCCTGCGTGATAATGATTTGCCAGTTAGGTTTATCAGTTGTGACAAATACGCCACTCTGGTATGGAGATTCTGAATGTGTGGGGAGGGGTTATATGGTGTTGTACTTCACAAATTTGCTGTGAATATGAAACTGCTCTTAAAAATAAAGTTTATCTATAATTTACGAGTATTATTTTTAAAAAGCAAAACCAAAAAATCCCTAGCTTAGTTGGGACCTTGTAATTAGTGCTAATTAGAGTAACGTTATCCTGGTACTTTTGTCTGAGGGTTCATGAATTTGGATATCTGACATGTTGTGGCCTTTTTACTTTGAAACCCAAACTCAAATCTTAGAACTTAAGATTCTGACAGAACAAAGTCACCTACCAATACCACAGGAAAAGGATCCAGACAAAGATGTTGATGTCATTGAAAAATGTGTCCCCATCAGTGTCGAGGAATCTTATCGTCCAGATTTCTTGGGTAGGAGGCAGTGTCCCAGAGATTAGCACAGTTTAGCAGAGCCAGTAGGTCACTTGGAAGGGCTCTCATTTAAGGGGCATGATGCTAAATGTAAATTATAGGCATACTTTTTTGTTAGACTGGGTCCTCTCACCTTGACCTTTGGTAGTGTACCTTTGTGTCCCATGATCAGGGTGGATTTTGCAATCCTGAGAAAGGGAAGTCTTCTTTTTCTTCTCCAGAGGGGCATCATAGTGAAAGGGGGAAAAAAGAAAAAGAAAAAGCTCTTTGGAATCAGAAGTAGGTATGAATTCTATTTCTTCTACCCAAGACACTTAGATACTTTTAGCCTTTTCCTCATCAATAAAACAGGTTGATCATAGCTACTTTGCAAATCATCTATGAGAATTAATGAGCACGATATGTGAATTACGTGAAGTGTTTACCATTAGACATTCCTTTCAATTTTAGGTTAAATCTCCTAGGAGTTACCTGAACCATAACATCTCTGGATCTGGCCAATAGAAATTCCATTATATAATAATTCCTCTCTCTCTCTCTCTCTCTATATATATATATATATATATATATATAATTTTATCTATCTATTTATTTATTTATTTATTTATTTATTTATATTTTACTCACCATGTTGCTCAGGCAAACCCCTGGGCTCAAGCAATCCTCTCTCAGCCTACCTTTAGCATCTGAGACTACAGGTGCATACCTCCATACTTAACTAGAATTCTATAAATTAAACTATCTGTGGCATTCATTAACATTAGATCAGACCCCGAGTTATCTGCTTTTAAACTGTTCTCCATATTTCTTAATATATGAATCCAAAGTCTCTCAAAGTTTCCATAGTTCTACCCCAGATGACATAGAGTTCTTGTCCTTGGGTATACATTAAGAATGTTAGAAATTCTTATTTTATTGAAACATCGTGCTTTGAACTTTCTATGGACAGCATTAGCATTCTGAGAACTTCACATTTGTATTTCTATATAAACCCATTTTGAGTTCTTAATTGAGTCATAATAATTTAGAGGGAATATATTATTTTACAGTAGCACCACGGGGAATCATAGTTACCAGGATGAGAGAAAGAGGTTTGAAAGAGAGTCTGGAAACCCCAAAGGAGAAACATTCATTTGCTTCACAAATTTTCCGGCAGTTAGCTTTTCTAGTGACTAGACTGATGCTTCACTGAAGCTTTCTAGGATCCCTTGTCTCTGTGGGTTCATCCTCAAAGTGATAGATATAGTGTCAGTGGTCAGTGTCTTCTGAATGGAGTCTGCATAAAGATTCATGTGATTTATTAATAACAATAGCATCATACACATGCTGTGGGGTCAGAGAGTCAGGAGAGTGTTGTGGTTAAACACTGGAGTTCTAGAGCCAGACAGCCTGGCTTGACCTTGGGCAAGTCATTTAATCTTTTTAAGCTTTACTTTCTTTATCTGTAAAATGGCAATAACAACAGCATCTACTTCATAGGGCTATTATATGATTAAATGAAATAATCTCTGGCTTCTAAGTGCTCTCTAAAAATCTTTTAATGATTGTCCTTAAAAGTATTAATGGAGATTAGGTGTGAAAGCCAAAGGATGGTAGATGTTGAATAAGTGACAGGAGTTGACGACTGTCTTCTCTCTCTTCCATCTCTTCCTTCTCCGTCAATTGAACAGCAGAGATGAAAAGCAAAAGGCACCTGGGAGTGGTGGCGCCAGCCTGGAGTTCCAGGAGGCTGAAGCAGGAGGCCCACTTGAGACCCGAATTCAGTGTTCCTGGGCGACATGGTGAGACCCCACTTAAAAAAAAAATGCCAAGAGTCTAGAGTCTGGAAGCAGACTGGAAAACTGAGTTCAAATTCTTACTTAATTTAATGTTTACCAGCTTTGTATCCTTAGTCAAGTTATCTGATTTCTCTGTGGCTCAACATCCTTATCTGTAAGTGAAAGGTAATGAAAGAACCTACCCAACAGGATTATTATTAGGATTGATACTAAAGTGTTTAGTTATAGTCTCAAAACACAAGTAGTGCTCTCCATGATAGTTTCAGGAGAAATGTCCTCAATATGTAATTATAAATGGTAGGTGATTGACCTCTTCAGGTTGGATGAACTATAGATTAATTTTATTATTATTTTAATTTATATTTAAAATATATATATATAAATACTAAAGGCTAGCTCAATGGAAACTGAGGTTGTTGATGGACTTTATTGTCTTTATTTTTATGTGGTGCTGAGGATTGAACCCAGTGCCTCACGCATGCTAGGTGAGTACGCTACCACTGAGCCACAACCCAGCCCATGGATTAATTTTATTATAGCAGAGTTTGAAAATTCAGGGAAAAGGAACATGAAGACCAAATGTTTGTAGTTATTATATTAATAATCGGCATTTATTCAATACTTACTACAGATTGGCTATTGATATAAATGCTTAACACAAATTATCTCATTTAATTCTACCATACTCCTTTGAGGTAGGAGTGATTATTACCTTTTCTTTACCAATGAGGAAAACGAGACAGAGACCAACTTGCCAAGGTCACAGAATAGAGCCGGGATTTGAATTCTGAGACTTACCTCATAGCTCTTGCATATCACCACCATTCTTAATGTCTTGTTTGAGATGGATGCAGTGGTGCTCTGTGAGTTATGGGCTTAAGCTGGTGGTTCTGAATACTTTTTTAGTCACTGATCTCTTTGAGATAAAGGTGGACTCTCTTTAAAGTGTACATGCCCTGGTTGTTTTTCTAGTTGAGACAGAGACACTGAATGCATAGTGTCAATCTTCTTCCAAGTTTAATTCTAGTTCAAGAGTTTAAATAGCACAAAATAAGTCTCTTTGCTGAAATCTGTTGAACTGTTTATTCCAAGATATAGTTAAGAACTAAAAAATGGATATCTAACAAATGTAGGCACTCTTGGGTTTTGCTAGTCACAAAAAAATAAACACATTGGAAATACTAAAGGCTAGCTCAGTGGAAACTGAGGTTATGAATTCAGGCATAGAATACTGAGTTGATGGCAGGGTTTTTCTGACAAGTACATTAATTGTTAAATTTCTGAACATAAAGAGGAAACAGATACTAACAAATTTCAAGGGTGTTTTTCTGGAGAGCCACAAAGCAACCACACTTTGCCACAGTTCTCAGAATGCTTTTCTTTCTTAGGGCCCTGGGCTCTTACCCTCCCTTCCACATGGGGAGGGTCTGAAACTGAAATTGCACTTGCTTAGAATCCCTCCCTCATACTTTGAAGCTGCAGATATTTTTCAGCTTTGTCTTAAATATCAGCAGGCAAATTTTACTGTTTTGGTATCCATTATTCATTTACTTTTCTTCTGGGTCAGAATACCCCAAATTTCCTTTTGAGAACTATTTCTCTCTGACTCCATTCATGTGGATCCTGGAATGAATGGGACTCCTTTCTTCATAGGCATCATGCATGAGGAAGGCCTGATCAATCAGGAATGATCAGGGGACCCATGATCTATCTGTCCATGTGGATCCAGGGACCTATCCAGGAGACAGTGAGCTCTTCTTGTTATTATTATTTTTTTTTGGGGGGGGTACTAAGGATTGAACCCAGGAGTGCTTAACTGCTGAGCCACATCCCCAGCCTTTTTTATATTTTATTTTGAGACAGGGTCTCTCTGAGTTGCTAAGTGCCTCGCTAAATTGCTGAGATTAGCTTTGTATTCGTGATCTCCTGTCTCAGCCTCTGGAGCTGCTGGGATTACAGGTGTGTACCACTGCACCGGGTTTTTTCTTGCTCTTATCCCATTTTGCAGGTGACAGATGAGAGCTGGTAGGTTGACAAGGAGAGTGAAGCCAGCAAAGGATAGGAGAGAGCGCTGAGGGATAAAAGAACCTGAGTCCTGACAATATCACCTGGGCTCCTAAATAAAGTCAGGCCTGAAACTCTTCCTGGGACTCTTCAGTAGGCCCAAACCAGTTACCTACGACAATTTGAGTTGAGGTTCTGTCACTTGCAACAGGAAGAGTCTTAACTGCTATTGCATCTGACAATCAGTCTATGGGTTTGTGTTATCCATAGTAGCTTGTGCTACTGTTTTTTTTTTTTTTTTCCTTTTTTTAAAAACTACTTTTACTAGGCTGGGGTTGTGGCTCAGGGGTAGAGCGCTTGCCTAACATGTGTGAGGCACTGAGTTGATCCTCAGTACCCCATAAAAATAAAATAAAGGTATTGTGTCCACCTACTTCTTTTTTTTTTTTTTTTTTTTTTTGAATTACAAAGTTTTACTTTTTATTTTTTATTTATTTATTTTTTTTTTTAATTTTTTATTGTGGGTTGTTCAAAACATTACAAATTTCTTGACATATCATATTCCACACTTTGATTCTAGTGGGTTATGAACTCCCACCTTCACCCCATACACAGATTGCAGATTCACATCAGTTACACATCCATTGATTTACAAATTGCCATACTAGTGTCTGTTGTGCTCCGCTGCCTTTCCCATCATCCACCCTCCCCCCTCCCCACCTCTCCCCTCCCCTCCCCTCCTCTCTCTCTACCCCCTCCACTGTATAACCCTGAGGGTCTCCTTCCATTACCGTGCAATTTACCTTCTCTCTCCCTTTCCCTCCCACCTCTCATCCCTGTTAAATGTTAATCTTCTTCTCCTGTTCTTCGTCCCTACTCTGTTCTTAGTTACTTTCCTTATATCAAAGAAGACATTTGGCATTTGTTTTTTAGGGATTGGCTAGCTTCACTTAGCATAATCTGCTCTAATGCCATCCACTTCCCTGTAAATTCTATGATTTTGTCATTTTTTAATGCAGAGTAATACTCCATTGTGTATAAATGCCACATTTTTTTTTATCCATTCGTCTATTGAAGGGCATCTAGGTTGGTTCCACAGTCTTGCTATTGTGAACTGTGCTGCTATGAACATCGATGTAGCAGTGTCCCTGTAGCATGCTCTTTTTAGGTCTTTAGGGAATAGACCAAGAAGGGGAATAGCTGGGTCAAATGGTGGCTCCATTCCCAGCTTTCCAAGAAATCTCCATACTGCTTTCCAAATTGGCTGCACCAATCTGCAGTCCCACCAGCAATGTACAAGTGTACCCTTTTCCCCACATCCTCGCCAGCACTTGTTGTTGTTTGACTTCCTAATGGCTGCCAATCTTACTGGAGTGAGATGGTATCTTAGGGTGGTTTTGATTTGCATTTCTCTGACAGCTAGAGATGTTGAGCATTTTTTCATGTACTTGTTGATTGACTGTATGTCCTCCTCTGTGAAGTGTCTGTTCAGGTCCTTGGCCCATTTGTTGATTGGGTTGTTTGTTCTCTTATTGTCTAATTTTTTGAGTTCTTTGTATACTCTGGATATTAGGGCTCTATCTGAAGTGTGAGGAGTAAAGATTTGTTCCCAGGATGTAGGCTCCCTATTTACCTCTCTTATTGTTTCTTTTGCTGAGAAAAAACTTCTTAGTTTGAGTAAGTCCCATTTGTTGATTCTAGTTATTAACTTTTGTGCTATGGGTGTCCTATTGAGGAATTTGGAGCCCGACCCCACCGACTGTAGATCGTAGCCAACTTTTTCTTCTATCAGACGGCGCGTCTCTGATTTGATATCAAGTTCCTTGATCCATTTTGAATTCACTTTTGTGCATGGCGAGAGAAAGGGATTCAGTTTCATTTTGTTGCATAAGGATTTCCAGTTTTCCCAGCACCATTTGTTGAAGATGCTATCCTTCCTCCATTGCATGCTTTTAGCCCCTTTATCAAATATAAGATAGTTGTAGTTTTGTGGATTGGTTTCTGTGTCCTCTATTCTGTACCATTGGTCCACACGCCTGTTTTGGTACCAGTACCATGCTGTTTTTGTTACTATTGCTCTGTAGTATAGTTTGAAGTCTGGTATCGCTATACCGCCTGATTCACACTTCTTGCTTAGCATTGTTTTTGCTATTCTGGGTCTTTTATTTTTCCATATGAATTTCATGATTGCTTTCTCTATTTCTACAAGAAATGCCATTGGGATTTTGATTGGCATTGCATTAAACCTATAGAGAACTTTTGGTAATATCGCCATTTTGATGATGTTAGTTCTGCCTATCCATGAACAGGGTATATTTTTCCATCTTCTAAGATCTTCTTCTATTTCTCTCTTTAGGGTTCTGTAGTTTTCATTGTATAAGTCTTTCACCTCTTTTGTTAGGTTGATTCCCAAGTATTTTATTTTTTTTGAAGATATTTTGAATGGAGTGGTTGTCCTCATTTCCATTTCAGAGGATTTGTCGCTGATATACAGGAATGCCTTTGATTTATGCGTGTTGATTTTAAATCCTGCCACTTTGCTGAATTCATTTATTAGCTCTAATAGTTTCTTTGTAGAGCCTTTTGGGTCTGCTAGATATAGAATCATATCATCTGCAAATAGTGATAATTTAATTTCTTCTTTTCCTATTTTTATGCCTTTAATTTCTTTCGTCTGTCTAATTGCTCTGGCCAGTGTTTCGAGAACTATGTTGAAGAGAAGTGGAGAGAGAGGGCATCCCTGTCTTGTTCCAGATTTTAGAGGGAATGCCTTCAGTTTTTCTCCATTCAGAATAATGCTAGCCTGAGGCTTAGCATAGATTGCTTTTACAATATTGAGGTATGTTCCTGTTATCCCTAGTTTTTCTAGAGTTTTGAACATAAAGGGATGCTGTACTTTGTCAAATGCTTTTTCCGCATCTATCGAGATGATCATATGGTTCTTATTTTTAAGTCTATTGATGTGGTGAATAACATTTATTGATTTCCGT